TGTGTGTGTGTGTGTGTGTGTGTGTGTGTGTGTGTGTGTGTGTGTGTACATGTATATACAGATAAAAGTGAACTAGTCCTTGTCCTCAAGTAGCTTACATTTGGGGGTTGGGGTGAGAGTGAGGCAAGGATTTACACCAAAGTACAATATATACAAAGGCATTTCAGGGCCAATGTGGGGGGTAGGGGCAGGGTTCTAACAACTACTGTAAACTGAAAAGGCTTCTTATAGGAGCTGGCATTTGAGCCAGGTGTTGAAGGAAGTGTCCTCTGTATGAAAAAAGTCCTACGCATGATTGCGTTTCAGAGAGGGGTTGCTCTTAAAGTGAGGCAAGGGATGGATAATAGTAAATGGTGCCTCAGCAGCTGTTGGAGTTATCATGCTTTCCTGATGACAGTTGTTATCCTATATCCAGAGACCTTTACCTAGAAGTTTGCTCTTTCTGACTTTTAAAGAGGTTGAACAGAGGGACCAGGATTGAAAGTGTGATGGGCCACCCCACTGTAGAGAGTAAGGCACTTCAGGGTGTCTGGATCAGGCTCCACTAGAGGGCTAGGGATGATTTCTTAGGCCAAAAAGTTCATGGTTAACACTGCTTCCCCAACATAGTCTGCAATTTGGAAAGAGGATCAGTTCCACAGGATACTTTGGGTGAGTCAAGGCAGGGAAAGGAAATAGCCCTAAGCTTTCCTGAGAATGCCTCTGGTCCTGTAGTCCCTTCCCTAGAAGCTTTTCCTTCCCAAGCTACTCAGTCTTTCCTTGGAGTTGAAACAGGTAAAGTGAATAAGCTTGGGGTGAAGGTAGAGAAATTTCCCCCTACCTCTTCAGTTCTGTCATGAGTCAAGCAAGGGCTTCATTATGTTACAGGGTTACTTTTTTCCCTTTCCCCCCACTTAGTGTTGAATTGAATATTCTTAGAGTATTATGCCTTTGTGAATTTGGGTGTCTTTTTCTGCTGATTTTATATGTAAAGGGCACATTTGTTAAATTGTGAAATTGAGAAGGATGGGAATTAGGAAAGGCCATCAGATATGACAGTTAAGAGATTATTGGTTACCAATGATTTGGAGAAGGCAGTTTAAACTCAATAATGAGTTTAGGAGCCAGATGGCAAAGGGTTGAGAAGTGGAGGCAGTGAGGAAAGTGAGTTTTTTTCAAGGATTTTGGCCGAGAAGAGGGAGAGAGAGGATAATGTCTGGGGGAAATGATGGGGTTCAAGTGAAGTTTATTCAGGGAAAAGGAGATTTGGGCATGTGTGAAGGCATTAGAGAAAGGAACTAATATATATGGAGACATTCAAGGTTCATTCTGCTGAAGAAGGAGGGTATGGGATCAAATGTATATGTAGAAGGGTTGACTTTGGCAAGGAGAAGGGTTACTTTTTTGTCAGATACTGGGGGAAAGGAGGGAAGAGTAGAAGATGATGTTGAGGGATAATGAAGATAAAGGAAGGACCTCACATCCAAGGACCTCAATTTGTACATAATAGATTTTTTAAAAACTGGTTAATTAAATTGAATATTTAATTAGCATTAGAAATCAATAAAATGTTCAACTAAAAATATTAGAATAAATCTATGAGAAGTTAAAGAGTTAAATTTTCCTTTAGGTTCTAAGAAATGATATCTTAATAGGATTGATATATATCATAAAGTATATTTTAGCCTTTGTAGTCTTAACAATCTTAATTTTTTCTTCCAGGTTTCCCAATTTGGTTGCAGATCTTTTGCCTTGCTTTTTGACGATATTGATCACAACATGTGTGCAGCAGACAAAGAAGTGTTCAGTTCCTTTGCGCATGCCCAAGTCTCTATAACAAATGAAATTTATCAGTATTTAGGAGAGCCAGAAACCTTTCTTTTCTGCCCCACAGGTAAAAGCATCAATACCCCTTTACAATTTGTCACCCTCAAGGGAATGTGAGTGTATAATATGTACAATTGGCTGGTAGGGAAGAATCATGCTTTCCAAAAATAGCATCAAAAGTCTTTGATAAAAATTCTTCAAGATAGGGGAAATTACATTAGTTTAAACAACAGCCAAGTTGGCTAGGGACTTTATCATTTTAAAAGCACTGATATAATATTTGAAGGGATGATTGAGAGGGTAAAGAGGTGTTCGTATACAATTCTAGAGCATAATGTTCTTTTTTGGTTATTATGTTTAGAATTTTAAAAGGTGTATATAATATTGAAATGGAAAAATCAAACTAGGTAGTTTTTAACTCCACTTTTCATTTCTATTTATTCCCTTCTTTGACCCCATTTATGTCTGTACTTTTTCCCCCACTTCTCCCACTACCTCTAATACCGTAGCTTCAGGAGAAACCTTTTTTTTTTTCTTTTCCATTTTTCCAGTAAGTAAAAGGCTACTTCAGTTGTCCCTCCAAATTCAACCATAAGTTTTGTCTTTTCTTAGGAAGTGATTAAATTATAAAAAGTTTGGACTGGATTAATTTCTTTGAAAGTAATTAATTACCTTTCCTATAGCATAACCACCAGACAAGGATTTTATCTACATTGATGGTCAAAGGCACAATACTTTTAATAAGATTGTATTAAGAATCACTTAAAACACACATAAACTTGAATTATGTGTAGAAACGTTAAACTTCATTGGATATAAACCTGCATTGTCTCTGAGATAAAATTTAATTTTCACTGTCCCTGAGACTGAAATTAAAAAATGTTGGCAGTTCAAACCCAAGATTGATTGTTGTCACTTGCCTCACAATACAGTTTCTAGTGATTACTCTTAGAATAATAGGAGGACTTCTGGAATAGTGTGAGGACAATTATTAGAATTTGTTAATTGATCCTTAAATGAGTGACTTAGGAGATTTCAGTACTTTTAAGGACTAATCCAATATTTTATGTAAATGATACTCATCAGACTTCTAAAAAAATGGGACATAGGTACTAGTAGAACAAGATTTTTACTTTTAAAAAACTTTTTTCCCTACTAATCATTGTTTTTGAACTTTCTTTACTCAGAATACTGTGGAACCTTTTGCTATCCAAATGTTTCTCAGTCTCCTTATTTAAGGACTGTGGGTGAAAAACTGTTACCTGGTATTGATGTGTTATGGACAGGTAAGTCTTTATCTTTTTAAAGGATATAAAATAAAAATTTTGATGAGATAAATTAGGAAAGGCAATTAACTGGTTAATTGAATTTTCTTGTTATCTTTAATCAGAAAATTTTTTGCTTTTACTACTGAAAAACTTGCTGAAATATGGCATATTTTTTCTAATAGTGCAATAAAGTCATGACAACCATTGGCTCCCAACAAGAATCTCTGTGATTGAGTTGGTTTCATTAGTCACCTAACTACCTCTGAAGACTTCTCCCTATTCCCTCATAGCCATCCATGACAACCGTATCCCATACTTCCTTACTTTTCTGTTGTGCCCCCTGGGACCCCTGTTCTGTTGTTAATATTAAGTACCTTTCACATTAATTTATTATTCTTTGAGGCTCTTGCAATACCTCCTACTCATTCTGAACATCAGTTATTTTTACAGCACTGTATACATAGGTAATTAATTGGAATTGGAATAAGTGTTTATTGGATTAGAATGTGTTGATTGACTTTTAGCACATGACAGTCTTTAAAAAATAGATTCTTTGAATTTTCTAATAATTTACAAGTTTCTTCTGAGTCACATTCTTCCCACTTCTCTGTCTTCCCTTCAAAAATGTGGGGTTTAGGTTAGTTGAGTTCATATTAACTTGTAATGAACTAAATTGGTTTTATGAGCCATCTAAAAAGTCATTGTAGTAGATTAAATTTATGTTGTTATTATATATACTTAAGTAAGTACAGATAAAATACTCTTAACAGGCCTTAATTATGGTTATAGGTCCGAAAGTTGTTTCTAAAGACATTCCAGTAGAGTCTATTGAAGAGGTTTCCAAGATTATTAAAAGAGCTCCAGTTATTTGGGATAACATTCACGCTAATGATTATGACCAGAAGAGACTATTTCTTGGCCCATACAAAGGACGATCAACAGAGCTCATTCCACGACTAAAAGGAGTCCTGACTAATCCAAACTGTGAATTTGAAGCTAACTATGTTGCCATTCACACTCTGGCCACCTGGTACAAATCAAATATGAATGGAGTGAGGAAAGATGTAGTAATGAGTAAGTACATTTTGTGGGAGGAAAGCAAGGGGTGGGGGGGTGCTACTCTTAAGTAGAATAAATATAACATCTACTTTCTTCTTCTGAGATGATAAAGTTTAGGTACCTTTTGAAGGCATTTGGGTGATTTGATATACGCTTACCTTGTTTATTTGAGCCCAGTAGGCAAATCCTCCAGACCTGGGTTTTCCGCTTACCTTGTACAGACATTTGTCTTTAAACCTCATTTTGGGCCAGCACTGCGATGCCGCACTTCTTTTAGCATGGATGTCTCAATGCTTTTGAGTGAATTTGACTGAAAATTGAAAGTTTTATTTGAAACCAAAATAAGACTCTTCCGTTTGTAAAATAAGCTCTTGTGTCTCAGGCTGTATTTTTCTTTTTTTTTTTTTTAGTGAGGCAATCGGGGTTAAGTGACTTGCCCAAGGTCACACAGCTAGCATGTGTCAAATGTTTGGTCTGAGGTGGGATTTGAACTCAGGTCCTCCTGATTTCAGGGCCGGTGCTCTATCCACTGCGCCACCTAGCTGCCCCTCAGGCTATATTTTTTAAAAACAGAAAACAAAAAACTTTGTCCCAAAGTTTATGTCTGAGACTAAAGTATTCCCACCTCTGTCCTAGTACTTCTTCCTTATTTCCCTTTGTTATTGGAACAGTCATTGTTCTGGTCAACCCTAGTTGGACATCTAAATCAACCATAACTCTTTTCTCTTGCACATCTAATTTGTTTTCCAAGGCTCACCAGTTGTACATCTGAAAATCGCTCTCATCTGCTCATCCCCTTCTTTTCTTTTTCTTTTTTTTTTTAAATTGGGAACAAATCCTGTGTTTTTATTTGGGGGAGTTATAGTTACACTGAGAAGGAAACAAATAGAAAAAACTCTTAAAAGCAGGAATGGTCTTGTAATTGTTCACACATTCAGACACTAACTGGGATCATCAGAGTCCTTTGGGGTTTTGTTGTTGTATTTTTTAAAGACTATTGGTACTCATCATTTCTTATAAGCAGTGTAATTTGCAATCTCCTGTAGAAGGAGGAAAGAAGGAATAAGCATTTATTAAGTTCCTACTGTGTTCTGTGCACTGTGCAGAGTGTTTTCATTTGACATATAATGTGGACACATTAGCTTTTCCACATCTGTGCCAGAAATTTCAAACCCAAATTTATCTTCCATGGCCACTTGATTTCTACTGGGTCCAAATTATCCAAGCCCCAGGTCTTTCATGAAGTAAGAATATATTCAATTTTTCTGGATCAGTCTCTCATAGCTTCATGACGTAGCAGAGACACAATCCTTATTGCTCTCCAGAGTCCAGACAAGTCACCATGTTCACCCCTTTCTTTTTACTCCCATTACCCTGCAACCACTGATTCTGTCTTCTCTAGACTATTCCTGTAGCTTTCTAATTGGTGTCCTTCACTCCATCAGTCTGTTTTACCAGATTCCTAAAGCAGAGCTATGGTGTCAATCCCTGCTTAGAAACATTTGTTTCCCATTGTCTGCAAGCTGTTATCCAAACTGCTTAGGCTAGTATTCCATGATTTGAGCTGATCTTTTTAGTCTTGTCTACATTACTCACCTATGTACCTTGTGCTCCAGTTAGACCAGTCTACTGTTAGACAAACAGGCTATTTTTTTCCTCTCTTCAGTGTTTTTATTTATGCTATTACTTGCACCCAGAGTGTTTCATGCCATCCTGCTAGGGGAATGGAATAAGCATTTATATGGCACTTGTGTGCCAGGCCCTGTGCTAAGCGCTTTATAAATGTTACCTTATATGATCCTCATAACGACCCTCAGATGTAGGTGCTATTATCATCTCCATTTTACAATTGAGGAAACTAAGGCAAACAGAGGTTAAGTGACTTGCCCGGGGTCACACAGCTAGTACCATCTGAAGTTGTGTTTTTTGTGACTTGCCCAGAGTCACACAGCTAGTGATGAAGTTGTGTTTGAACTCAGGTCTAACTCCAGGCACACTGCTTTACCCATGTTGCCACCAAGCTACCTGCTACAGACTTATCAGCTCAAATGTCGCCTTTTCCACAAAGCCGTCTTTCTTATTCTCACCAGTGAGAAATAACACCTGTGCTCGTGTTCCCTTTGTTGATAAAACTCTTAATGTCACTTAGCTTTTTGTTGTAACTTCTATCCATGTTTTATACCTTACTAGATAGTGAGTTCCTTATGGGTGGCGACCATGTATCCTCTATAACACCTGGCAGAGAACCTTGTATAAGTAGGGACTTAATAAATGTTTTTTTTAATTACATGTTTTAGAGATTGCAAGACTTCCAGTATTTCATCACATAACATGCTGTTGTTTGCATAGGAGATAATGGAGAAGTCTTTTTTTTTAAGTTATGCCTACAAATAGTGTTGGAAATAATAATGGTATCCTTGTACTATCTGGCTTTTAGGTCTAATTTCCTAGTCTGCTTACGAGCTTTTAATGTAGAAATTGATTTTTTTTTTACAATAAAAATACTTCTGTCATTTTGTTTTTGTTGCAGCTGACAGTGAAGACAGTACAGTATCTATTCAGATTAAATTAGAAAATGAAGGTAGTGATGAAGATATTGAAACTGATGTGCTGTATAGTCCTCAGATGGCCTTAAAGTTGGCTTTAACAGAATGGCTGCAGGAGTTTGGTGTACCTCATCAATATAGCAGTAAGTGAGGTGGCTCTTTGTCAAGGTGGGGGAGGAAGAGAAAAGTTATGGGTAAGGTGGTTGAATCAAAAATACAATCAAATAATTTTTAATGGCAGTGGTTAGCATTTTTTTTATTTAAATGCAATTGGAGTTAAGTGACTTCCCCAGAGTCACACAGCTAGTAAGTGTTATATGTCTGAGGCCAGATTTGAACTCAGGTCCTCTTGACTTCAGGGTCGGTGCTCTATTCTCTGCGCCACCTAGCTGTCCCTACAGTGGTTAACATTTTACTTGCAGAGCAAAGGCTGGTCATTAGAAAAGTGAAATTAAGTGAAAATTTGGAATTAGGAAGTCTGAGTCTTGGGTGTAAGGTCATGGTGGTGGTTTTTCCCTGACTCTCTCTGGGGTGCTAATTATAAGTGCATGAGAACCTGAAAATAAAACTATTTCATGAAACAAGTAAAAAAAAATCTCTAAACTAAAACATGATTAAAATCAATGAGTGATCCAGTTTGATTTTGAAGTCTACTGCCAGTGAAAATGAATCTTTGGAAGAGCTGTCACATACCGTCATTTAAGAAAAGGAACCAAAGATTCATTTGGACAGAATTCTTCAAATTTTAAAATTTTATATAATGAAATATTATATTTATGAGGAGGCTAGTCTTTTAGAGAATCTTGGAAGTGTTCAGTCTTTGGAGAACAAGGTAGAAGAGAAATGGAGGTGTTCTAGATACATTATTGCTTTAGTTGTATTTTTGCTTGATTTCCTCATTGCAGATACAAAGATGAGAAAATAGATTTCTCTAAATCTGTACTTGTTGAATTAAAAGGAGATTCCCAATTTCCTGATGGTTTTTATATGTCTGATTTTTCAGGTAGACAGGTGGCACACAGTGGCGCAAAAGCAAGTGTAGTAGATGGGGCCCCCCTGGTGGCAGCACCTTCTCTGAGTGCCACCACTGTAGTGACAACTGTTTACCAGGAGCCCATCATGAGCCAGGGAACAGCTCTGAGCAGCGAGCCTCCGCCCCTTGTCAAGGAAGAAGAAAAGAAACAGCTCGATGAGGAACCCATGGATATGGTGGTAGAGAAGCAAGAGGAGACTGACAAGAATGATAATCAGATACTGACAGAAATCGTTGAAGCTAAAATGTCAGAAGAGTTAAAACCAATGGATACTGATAAAGAAAGCATAGCTGAATCAAAGTCCCCAGAGATGTCAATGCAGGAAGATTGCATCAGTGACGTTGCCCCAATGCAGACTGACGAGCAGACAAACAAGGAGCAGTTTGTACCAGGTCCAAATGAGAAACCTTTGTATACAGCAGAACCAGTGACTCTGGAGGATTTACAGTTACTTGCTGATCTTTTCTATCTTCCATATGAGCATGGTCCCAAAGGGGCACAGATGTTAAGAGAATTCCAATGGCTTCGAGCAAACAGCAGTGTTGTCAGTGTTAATTGCAAAGGAAAAGACTCTGAAAAGGTGAATATATTGTGTTTGTTTACTTTTAATTCTTGCTAGCACAAAACTGCTCCATCATGCCTCTAATATGGAGAATGCCCCCAAAATTACTTTTTTTTTTTGTGGTAGACAGTTGGGGTTAAGTGACTTGCCCAGGGTCACACAGCTAGTACGTGTCCAGTGTTTGGTTTGAGGCCGGATTTGAACTCAGTTCCTCCTGACTTCAGGGCCGGGGCTCTATCCACTGCGCCACCTAGCTGCCCCCCAAAAACTACTTTTAAGAAGTGTGCAGACTGACCTTACTGCTGTACTTAACCTCCTAGCTACTTCAGAATGAAAGGAACTTGAAGGTGTTTTGTAACAATGTTTGTCACTGGGCTTTGTTTTTATTGCTTGTTTAAAATCTGTTAACTACGATTGAACAATTTCAGTTCCTGTTAGCATTAATAGTATTTTGTGTGTAACTTTTAGTTTCTGAATTTAAAAAGTTATATTCAGAATAGTTTGAATTTTTCTCAATAGATTGAAGAATGGCGGTCTCGAGCAGCCAAGTTTGAAGAGATGTGCGCACTGGTGATGGGGATGTTCACACGGCTCTCCAATTGTGCCAACAGGACAATCCTTTATGACATGTACTCCTATGTTTGGGATATCAAGAGTATAATGTCTATGGTGAAGTCTTTTGTGCAATGGTTAGGTAGGTGCACCAGGAACAATCTTCTCCCAGAGTATAATGTGTGTTTGAAGAAACATGATTTAGTCCACAGGGGAAACCCTCTAAAGAATTGAATATCTATTTTATTTTCTTCAAATTCTTTGCCTATGTTTATTCTAAATATAGGCACAATTACAGACTTCAATTGAAAGTCATTATGATTAATCACAATAAGCTGATTTCATTTTTCCCCTTGGGCTAATTCAGCATAAATATCTTTTTAATATATTAGAAAGTACTGACTTTACTTGTTCTGACTGAATGCATCCTGGACGGAATTCAGTGCACCTCTCAACAGCCTTCTGCTGATTGGGAATTGAGACACTATGAAATGTGACTCTCCATCAGCTCTCTGCTGCTTGCTGTGTCTTGGTAACATAATTGCTATGTTTTGACAGAACCATTGCTGAAATGACCAAAGGGCCTGGCCAAGAGGAAGCTGATCCTCCCAGCCCTGTGCGCATGCGAGTTTGAGGACAAGGCTATTCTGGTGCATCGTATCAGATTTTCTTCCTCCCTCCACTAAGTAGTTGACTTTAATAAGGGGTGGAAATGATAGTGCCCTGAGATGTTAATGTCTACTGCATTAAAATGACGCTCAAGACTTGTGTGCGTCTTTTTTTTTCTTTTTTTTTTTTAATTAAATTTTTGGAAACCTACAACTTGGTAGAAAGCACCAGCATGGCCCAGATTACTCCAGGGACATACTTTATTTTTCCAGGTTTTAATCCAGTTCTGAGGAATATGTTGTACACTTGCTTATGACACACAGCAGGCAGCAAGGCTAACTGATTTATGTCATAGTTTTCATAGTTGTCATAGATATCTCAATGGGTTACAGAGATGTCTAAAACGATGTCAATAATAATTAGGAAAGAGTAGTACAAGTATTTTTGATTAGCCCTTAATTCTTTTTTAAAATTCTTAAGGAAGCTATTAATGCTAAAAGTTAGTATTTCTAATCCTTAATTGTGTCATAAAAATCCTTTTTGGATTAACGTGTGGAAGTACGGTTTGGGGAAGAAATTTAGGCTTTATTCTTTAAAACAGTGCAGTGTTGTCCTTCTAGGGGGAAGGACCTTAGAAACTTCACTTCTTATTTAAGTGATGTATAGATCACCTTCCGTCCAGGTTACTACCAAGGGAAAATAAATGCTTGTTGGAATTTAAACTTTTAGTTTCTCTGGATACCACAAGGACTATTAAATTTAAGGGTTTTTTTGTTTTGTTTTTAATTTTTATTTTTCATCAAGCATTTTTCTTCCCACCTCTCCCACTGAGGGGAAAAAACCCTTGTAAGCAGTATGCACCTAGGACATACAAATCTTCATTTCATATATTTGTAATGAAACTTTAATGCAAGGATGATGTAAAATTTTAACGTCTTGATTCCTTGAAATATACAATATTGTGTCTCTATGTTTCTACTTAAGCAGTGGGATTGAGAAATATTTAGCTCTGGGTATAAATAACTTGGCCAAGAAATAAGGAGATAATTATTGTCAACTCCCCAATGACAAAGGTGCTTTAGTTAGTTTTTTTTTTTCCAATAGTGTGCCTTACCCAGAGCTTATGTTAGGAGTCATGTTCAAAGCTAACTACTGAGTTTTCATAACAATATAAGATTTAGATTGCATTTAGTATATATAGAATAGATATATACTGAGTAGTATTCATCAGAGCATGGGGATATAGTTTGGAGCCCTTATTTCTTCTCTTTTCTTTCCAGTCCAGTTGGCATTCAGTCCCTTAAAAGAATGTGGTTATCTAGTACTTTTGATTACTAATGACTTGTATTATCTTCTTCCCCATTGTGTACAGATGGGAGAATCTTCAGCACAAGTTTCTACTGCTCTTGGATGGACAGCGGCAGATGTTCATCACGCGTCATGATTAATTAGTTTAAATTGAAAGGTTCTGACTGTGAGGTAGTTCAGGTAGATTACTATGCAGTAGGCATGAACTGAAGTCACATTTGCGCAGCGACTAAGGCATTAACAATGGTTTTTATTTACACAGCTCTTCATTCATGCAGCTTTTTATTGTCGTAGTTGAAGTGCTAGTTATGTTGTGGTCTCAAAGTGGGGGGTAGTGAAGAAAAATCATCCAAGTTATTGGCTAATCTGTACAAAGTGAGAGGGATAGCTTTTTGATGAGTGTAAATTATGTTGTTATGGACTGGGGCAGGTTCTAGTCAAAGCCTGAATTTCAACCCTTTTCCATTTTTCCAGATTTGTCTTATGAATTTTGTCCTATGTTTAGGGGGAAAAAATACCCCAACCCCAACCCCCCAAAATACCTCACACCAAAAAACAAAACAAAACACAACCTATTATAAACCTGAACTTTTGATGGGCTTTTATTGTCAAAACTTAGTTTGCTTTGGGACTGTCTGACTAGCACACTGTATTTTATTCTTATGAGATTGTTAACTTAAACAGGAGGTAGAATGCTGTCTTCAAAAGGAAAAGAACTTTTGCGCTGCTCATCTTGTCAGAAGACTAGGCAATTGTTCCTAGTTTAGTCCTTAAACTTAACTGTCTTTTCCCTTTTAAATTGTCACGTGGTTAACCTCACAGCCTATAAAATGGATTAAATAAGAGCTTTAAATAAGCTCAATGTCAAATGCTGTGGTAGTTGACCTGAGAAATGAGGTGCTATTGCACTTTTTTTCTTTTCTTTTTTTTTTTTTTAAGGGGCATTTTAGGGCATAAAAAGCCCCATATGAATTAAATCTCAGGATGTGGCAAATTATCCAAGTTTGAATTTTGGTCTATCTTCCCTGAGAATTGAGGCATCTTACGTCTTCATTGTTTTGGGCTGTGTTAACTTATTAAGCTATTCCTTTTATTTTTTCTGCTGACCTTAGTTTTCTGACAAGATTAACCCTTTTCTTTCCCTTACCCTTTCCCTTTCCCCCTCTCTGAAAATATAAAATGTGACTTCAGACAGGTATAATTCCTTCTTGGGGCTGTGATAATAGAATTTCTCTCTCCATCCATCTGGTAAAATTTGTGGTAGCAGGTCACTCCTTTTTGTAGTTTTACAACTTCAATACAGGATGGATGGCATGATTTGTTACGGCTATACTTAGAAAATATAAGCTTTAGCCTGACAAACTCAGACAGTTTGTTTTTCTTCCCATATATGTGGAACGAATAGAATCTGACTACTTCAAAATTTATTCTTGATGCAGTTATTGTATATTTGAGGGAGTGGGCATCAATATTGGGCACCTTGAAAGTTGTTGGGGTTTTTTTTAAGTATTATCACAGCCCTGACCTTGATATCCTGGATTATTATTGTTAGAGAGGTTTTCCACAAAGAATGTATTTGTTGGACGTTTGAGACGCTCAGGAAATCCCCTTTCTCGTAACGTTCTCCGCTTGGATCTGATTTCAACAGGGTGTCGTAGTCAATCTTCAGCACAGTTCTTAATTGGAGACCAAGAACCCTGGGCCTTTAGAGGTGGTCTAGCAGGAGAGTTCCAGGTATCAATATGAATTCACAACTGAATTGACATTTTCTTTGTTTTATGAGAAACCTTTTGTTGCGCATCAGATGGCTGGAAGGATTGGTCTGCCGAAGGCTTTCTAGTCCAAAATCCAATTTAGTTCTAGAGCTGGTTTTAAATCAAATTTTCCTCCCCTTTTCACAGTAATTTCTCAAGGAGATGCTGCCAATTCCCCCCCGCGCATGCGAAGCGCAGCGGCTTTAGGTGTACATTTCACATTGTTTCTTTGCAGGTCGCACAGCATTTTAATCTGCGCCCGCAATGTACAATGCGCGCATGCTTGTCTGCCAGTGGAAATTCCATGAGCAAAAATGTGAACAAAAATGAGCAAATATGCGAATAAATGGTAGACTGAATTTGAATCTACAGTAATTCTTAAAAAAAAAAAAAGGAAATAACTTGGTTAGCTATAAAGCTTTCCATTGATGAAAGTATTAAATACAGATGGAGCTTCTTATTTGGTGGTTGAATTTGTTCATGGATTTTTCAGGTGCTCTACTTTTTCCCCCCAACAGGTGCTCTGCTGCGCACAGCAAACTGAAGCGCATTGCTTTGGGGATAAAGCGTCTCCTCTGGACAGTTAACCCTCTTCAGACCAAACCTCTCCTCCTGACATTATCTGTTCTGCCATCTTTTAGTACAGAGATGGTCTAGATAAGATTGGTAAAATATATATATACATACATATATATATATAAAAAAATTGGAATAGACTTTACCATCCTTTTAAGTCCATCAATGAGCCACTAAAGTTGTATAATACTCAGATTGAATAATTTCTATTCAGAAATATCTCGCCCTTGCCCCCACCCCCTGCAAAGTGGTGTGTGCATTAGTAAAGCATATCAAACCCCTCTTCTTTAGGCCTGCCTGCAGTAGCCAGTTAATGTTCATTTGGTAATCTGCAGTGCACACCCATGAAACATTTAACTAATTCTCAGTAGTGATGATTTTCTTCCTTTTCTTTCCACAGCGATTATTGCCAATTGATGGGGCAAATGACCTCTTTTTTCAACCACCTCCACTGACTCCTACCTCCAAAGTTTATACTATCAGGCCATACTTTCCTAAAGATGAGGTAATGGTCATCTTCTGTATTTATCTGTGACCTATGTGACACATATATATCTCTACTTTGAGCCAAATAGTTACATATTTTTATCATTCTGAAAGGATTGAAGATCTTTGCAGCATCTTGCTTATGGGGCTTGAGTAGGAGAAACATGAGACATTTGAGCGCTAGAGATGTATGTAGGAGGTTATAAAAAGCAGGAGCTAGAAGTTCTGATATGCTCTCTTGAAAAAGTCAGGAATTGCAGGGTTGGGATTCCTAAGAAATAATGATGGGTAGCTTCTGAAGAGTTGGTTTTCCTCCTGCTTATTAGTTATAAATATTTACTTGATTGTCAGATGCCAGCTGTCAAGATATCATTACTTTTCCATTTTAGTGTCATTGTAATCATAGCTGGTGATTGAAAATGTACAATTCTTTGAGCAGTTGATGAAATTACTGTTCATACGTAAAATAGCTTTGTTATAGCAAATGGAGAACTGAGACAATGAGCTTTTTAGAAATCCTTTGATTTTGCTGTAACTAACTTTTATCTCAGGAGTGAACCCTGTCAGTGTTCATAGAAACTTTTGAAGTTCTCCAATCATTTTATACACCTCTTCCTCAGTTTTCAACTAACTCTAGTTGATCAACTAGAGCTTATATTAAATGGAGCTAGTCTTATTACTCATTCCCTATTAGCAGGTCCAATCTGACACTTCTCTCTATCTGACATTATTCTGATAGATTTCTTTTGCCACCTTTCTTGACCCATCATCATACTGCATTGTGTTTTTAGGCATCTGTGTACAAGATTTGCAG